ACAACAAAGACGGTTTCGTCCGCAAATGATGGAGGCGATCGAATCCGAGGTCAAGAAGCTTATTGACTCGGGCTTCGTTCGAGAGGAGCAACATCCAGAATGGCTAGCCAATATTGTCCCAGTCCTTAAGAAGAACGGGAAAGTCAGGATTTGTATCGACTTTCGGGATCTCAACACTGCTTGCCCAAAAGATGATTTTCCCCTCCCCATCACGGATGTCATCATCGACAATACGTGTGGGTTCGAGAGGATGTCTTTCATGGATGGTTTCTCTGGTTATAACCAGATAAAGATGCATCCGGATGATGAAAAGCACACCGCATTCAGAACGCCCCTCGGTGTCTTCTGTTACACAGTTATGCCCTTCGGCTTAAAGAACGCAGGTGCTACATATCAACGAGCTATGTCAAAGATCTTTCAGGATCATCTCCGAAAGACTGTTGAATGCTACGTAGATGATCTGGTCGTGAAAAGTCGTGATAAAAAGGATCACATCAAAGACTTAAAGACCATGTTCGACTTAATGCGAGCCCATCAGTTGAAGATGAATCCTACCAAGTCTTTCCTCGGAATGTCGAGTGGAAAATTCCTGGGATTCGTCGTCACCACCAAAGGTATCCACATCGATCCTGATAAGGTAAAGGCGATCAATGAATTACAACCTCCGAGAAACCTCAGGGAGCTCAGAGGATTGCAGGGGCGATTGGCTTATATCCGTCGGTTCATTTCGAACCTCTCAGGAAAATGCCAGCCATTCTCCAAGCTCGCAAAGAAGGGCGTATCATTTGTATGGGATGAAGCTTGTCAGAAAGCATTCGAGAGCATTAAAGAATATCTCTCAAAACCTCCCGTACTCGTTGCACCGAAATCGGGCAAACCGTTCTTGATTTATGTCAAGGCGACGAGCCATTCATTAAGTGCATTGCTTGCACAAGATGACGATAACGGTCACGAGCAGGCAGTGTATTACTTGAGCCGAACCATGGTGGGCGCCGAGTCTCGATATCCTATGATTGAGAGGGAATGCCTCGCCTTGGTGTTCGCCATTCAGAAGATGCGACATTATCTGGTCGGGCAGACCATTTACGTCATCTCTAAAGTTAATCCGGTTCGAGTATTCATGACTCAACCCGCTTCCATGAGCTGGCGGTTAGCAAAATGGGCCTTACTCTTGTCCCAATACGACTTGCATTTCAAGCAACAGAAGTCGGTCAAAGGACAGGCCATATGCGATCTCCTCGCAGCTAATCCAACTACGGATCCTGCCGAGATATACGACGACCTACCTGATGAAACCCACGAGGTCAACGCAACTTCACACCAACAAGTGTGGCGTTTATACTTCGATGGCGCCTCTCGAGCAGCTCTTGTCACAGATACTCCTGGACGTTCTAAGGTCTCCTCCGGGGTTGGAGTGGTCTTAGTTTCCCCAGGAAAACACGTGATGCCCCGAGCCTATTCATTAACCAAGCCATGTTCAAATAATGTGGCAGAGTATAATGCACTGATTATTGGACTCAACTTCGCTAAGGAGCTGGGGGTTGAGTATCTCGAAGCCTTCGGCGATTCTCAACTAATAGTCAAGCAAGTCCAAGGAGAATATGAAGTCCGAAGTCAGGATTTAATTCCATACCATAAGATGGCAGTGGAGATAGCGGAATCATTTGAAGGATTCTTCATCGAACATATTCCACGGCTACAGAATACCTATGCAGATGCGTTGGCCGCATTGGCCGTGTCACTAGCGCAGCCTCCCGAAACAGAGCAGTTTGTTACGGTAAGAACTCACCAACTCCTAGTGCCGCTTTACAGTGAAGATGCCGAGGAAGAAGAAGTTCAAGAGGTACACGCTACTCAAATCGAGTTCGAACCACGAGATTGGCGTTTCCCCATCATCGACTACGTCTTGCATGGAATCTTGCCAGAAGATGTGAAGGAAAGAGAGTCAATCCGGCGAAGAGCACCCAGATTCTACTACAATACAGAGAATCGAACGCTATACCGCAGGGGGTACGATGGGCTGATATTGCGTTGCCTATCAACCAAAGAAGCCCAAGAAGTGCTTAGAGAGGCACATGAAGGGGAGTGTGGCGCGCACGAGCCTGGCCCCAAGCTTTATGATCGCATCAGAAGAATGGGATATTTCTGGCCTCACATGATGAGCGAAGCAATCACATATGCCCGGAAGTGTCATGCGTGTCAAGTACATGCGAATTATATGCACCAACCTCCGGAGCATCTGCATCCCTCGGTAACATCTTGGCCGTTCGAGACTTGGGGAATGGACATTGTTGGTCCTATAAATCCCCCTTCGATCAAAGGCGACCGGTTCATCCTGGCGATTACCGATTACTTCTCCAAATGGGCTGAAGCAATTCCACTCAGAGAAGTTAAGACGAGCAACGTCATTGGATTCATCAAGCACCACATCATTTACAGGCATGGTGTTCCAAGACGAATCATACATGACAATGGTCCTCAGTTTGTCAGCAACGCCTTCATAAGGTTCTGCGAAAAATTCAAAATTCAGGACATCTCATCAACGGCTTATAATCCCACAGCAAATGGATTAGCTGAAGCCTTCAACAAGACTATCATAAAACTTTTGTCAAAGCTTGTGAAAAGTAACAAGCGAGATTGGGATGACAAGCTCGGTGCAGCACTATGGGCCTATCGTACCACGGTACGTACACCAACCGGTGCAACCCCGTATTCATTAGTATATGGATGTGAAGCCGTTCTCCCTTTGGAAGTTCAAATTCCATCTCTTCGGATCGCCCTTACAACCCAAATGACGACCGAAGAACAGCATCAAAAGCGCCTCGAAGAACTCGAGATGCTCGATGAAAAGCGCCTGGAGGCTCAACAGCATATCGAGTTCTACCAAGCCAGAATTTCTCGAGCCTTCGACAAAAAGGTTCGACAAAGGAGTTTTAAGGAAGGGGATTTGGTCTTAACTGAAAGACATCCTATGAACCTGAGCTCCAAGAAGAAGGGCAAGTTCGAGCCCAAATGGGAAGGACCGTTCGTAGTAGAAACAGTCTACTCAAACGGCGCCTATCGCCTAGTCACCAAAGATGGTGATCGGCTGATGATGCCAATAAATGGCAAATTCCTGAAGAGGTACTATCCTTAGCACCTTTCAGAAGGAGCTGATGTATCGGGAAGTTCCCGGAAGAATACCACATTGGGGTATTCTTAGGGATAACCTGGTCGGTATAAGAGAGATGAACAAGAAGTCCACATTCGAACCCCGAATGTTCTAGTTTGTCAGACTCTAACCCTCATCAGATGAGATCCAATCATTCGAGGGATTAATTTTCCCTCACAAAACTTTCATTGGTGTTCGATTACTCATAGTCTTCGCCACACATTCCTCACTCGGTCAAACCTTACGACAGTTAGGACCAAAGCCAAAGTCCCCTCTCGATTCCTTCAACGAACGAGAGGTCCACAAATCGGGCGGTCAAACTTTCACGTAGTTGTGATCGTTCCAAATTTCCCACTTGGTCAAACCTTACGACAGTTAGGACCAAAGCCAAAGTCCCCTCTCGATTCCTTCAATGAACGAGAGGTCCACTTTCAAACTCCCGAATGACCAAACCTTACGACAGTTAGGGTCATCTCGAACCCTCGCTTAGTCACAACTTACCCTGGTCGAGACTAAGACCGAGTCATCTTTTGTTCAAATGACCAAACCTTACGACAGTTAGGGTCGTTTGAACTTTCCGATTCTCGGAGTGGAGATCCCACTTCTAGTTTCATCCTGCGGATTCTGGAGGTGGAGATCCCACCTCGAGTTTCCCTCTTTTGCTGGAGATAGAATATAAAATTCTTCCTCTCCAGTTCTGAAGATAGAATATAAAATTCTTCCTCTTCAGAGTCAAATGACCAAACCTTACGACAGTTAGGGTCGTTTGAGCCTTTCGGATTCTGGGGGTGTGCCACCTCGAGTTTCCTTTCCAGCTGAAGATAGAATATAAAATTCTTCCTCTTCAGAGTCAAATGACCAAACCTTACGACAGTTAGGGTCGTTTGAGCCTTTCGGATTCTGGGGGTGTGCCACCTCGAGTTTCCTTTCCACCGGGAGATAGAATATAAAATTCTTCCTCTCCTCGGACCTTTCCGATGCTCGGAGTGGCGACCCCACTCCCAGTTCATCATTCCGGGTGCTCGGAGTGGAGATCCCATTCCCAGTTCATCCTTCCAGATACTGGGGGTGGGGAATCCCACCTCAAGTTTCCTTTCCAGCGGGAGATAGAATATAAAATTCTTCCTCTCCTCGGACCTTTCCGATGCTCGGAGTGGCGACCCCACTCCCAGTTCATCATTCCGGGTGCTCGGAGTGGAGATCCCATTCCCAGTTCATCCTTCCAGATACTGGGGGTGGGGAATCCCACCTCAAGTTTCCTTTCCAGCGGGAGATAGAATATAAAATTCTTCCTCTCCTATTTTGACACAACTTTCAACTTCCAATCCGCGCACTTGGTGCGTGGGGAATTTTATCCCGAATCCTAAGTAGGGATAAGTCAACACCTAACACGTGTTGCCGGGTAGCCTATTCCCGTAACAAGGGCAAAGTCTACGTATTCGAAGTCGTAGCAGCAAGTCTAAGGGAGTTCATTCCTTTAGCACAACGTTACATACGGAACGGATTTCGATAATCCGCATGCTAGCCCGATTCAAACGGTGATCGGTAAAGGCACATCAAACCCGTTGAAGGCTGGGGGTTTGCCAAAAACCCCAAAGTCAACGCCTAACACGCGTTGCCGGGTAGTCTATTCCCGTGAGAAAGACGAAGCCTATGTATTCAAGATCATAGCACAAAGCCTCAGAGAGTTTACTCTCTCAGCACAACGTTACATGCGGAACGGATTTCGACAATCCGCATGCTAGCCCGATTCAAACGGTAATCGGTAAAGGCACCTCAAACCCGTTGATGGCTGGGGGTTTGCCAAAAATCCCATAAATCTGTCATTCGGAAGAGATACAGAGAAAACACAAAAGAAGCAAATGCGGATTTTCTATTAATAAATCAAGTCAAAAGCATACAACAAAAGCTCGTTAGTCCGAAGGCAACCGACGGCTAAGAATATGAGACTCTAAACCAGAGAGCCTGTCCATATAGTCCTGCTCGAACTCCGCCTGCAGGCTAGCTCGGACAGAATCTTCGGAACTGTTGAGAACCTCTGCGGCTTCGTGTCGTAGCTTCATCAACCCCTCCTGCACTGATCCCAGCCTGTCGAGTGTCCATTCACGAGAACGCTCCAACCCAACCAGTTCCTCAGAAATGGTAGCGGCAGATTCTTCGGCGCGTTCCAAGGCCTCCTTCAGTCTAGCTATCTCTGCACGAGTGGAATCTAAGGAGCTCACTAACTCAGCTCTGCTGGTGTCTTTCCTCGCCAGAGAGGCCATCAGCTGCTCGACAGTGCGCTCACGTGATCGAAGCTCGCTGCCAACGGAAGATCGCAGTTCATGCCACTGCGTCAACCTATCCTCCACCTGAGAAGATGCAAAAGAGGGAGCTCCACCAGCCTTCAACTCCCTCAGCTCTCGAATCTCTGACTCCAGGGCAGCGAAATCAGCTGTAAAGGAATCGGCCAAATCCGGATATCCCTCTTCCCTCATCATCATCATGTGACGGGAGAAGGAACGCCTGAACTGATCAAAAGAAGACCCTCTGTGCAGAAGCTTATCAATCACGCCGTTATAAAAGGCAGTAAAGAAGCCGAGGTCAGTGCGGAAGACATCCCCATCTGGATTGGTATCGGCCAAGAGAGCATGGACCTGCTCATATAGAGACGGTCGAGAACCTGCAAGCAGCAGTATGGGAGGTCAAGAAACTATTAAATACAATCGAAAAGACCCTAAGGGAAATTCGAGGTATACCTATACCGGCGGAAATCCCCTCGGGTTGGGGTTCGACAGGCTCCGAAGTAACGACAGGAATGCTCATGGAAGGTATATCAACCCTCGTGGGCAAGTCAGTCGTATTAGGCGAAGGCGGGAAAACACCCGAAGCTATAGCAGAATCAGGTACAGCGCCTGGTCATATAGTTGCACTTCTTTATTAGTCAAAATGGAGACTGAGACAAGCAAAGAAGAGAGGAAATTGGATATATACCTGTGGATGAATCACTCTCAAAGAGTGGTCTCACAGTCCCGGTGGGAGCTTGTTCAGCTAACATATCGGCTAACAGTCCAGAGTCAGGTCTCGGGAAGACCGGTGCAGGAACATATCCCTGCTCTTCGAAATCTGCAATAGGGGAGGCCCCATCCCCGTCTGGCCCTTCTGTCGCAACACCTGCAGCACCGGATGTAGGTATATCTGAAAATGAACCGGTGGGATCAACACCATCTGCCTGCCCAAGATCGATGTTCAGATCAATGCCCAGGGAGCCATCACGAAGGGCGTCGCACACCTGCTGCATGAAGCAGTCCATGTTGTCAGCCCCAGAGAATACCGGACCTGGTGGAAGCTCGCCCTCCTCGAAGAACCCTGAATTATGAAACAGGATCAGGGATCCCGGAAGGTAAATCATCTTAAAGCAATAAAAGTGGGTACAACAAAATGTTACCTTCCTCCCCGTCGGCAAAGCCTCCTGAATCTACCCCATGGGAGCGCTGATCAACATGAGGTTTATGGGCAATCTTTTTCCTTTTCGAAGGATCACCCCTCATAGAACCAACGGGGCGGTCATGCGAAGTTTGGCCACCAAACTTGGATTTCGCACGACGGGAAGCGAGCGACCCATGGTCGTCGGCTACCCCACCTGAAACAACAAGAATCATCTCATGAACCAGATCTTTCGCCAATACCAATTGAAGTCGAGAAAGAGGATCAAAGAGCATGACAAACCTGTATCAAGTTCTGCTTGGTCGGTATCTATATCTGCATACTCCCCTTCGGGAATTCCGGTGGACTTCTTCCTCTGTCTCTGAGCAGGCTCAGCCCTGCGAGCAGCCATCATAGCAGATTGAACCAAGTGATCGGATTCTAGTTCCGAAAGACTCCTCACACTTATGGATTCATCGGCAGAGAGGAACCATTTACAGCTGAGGAAGGTAATCATCGGCTTGCGTTTATAGGAGGGAAGAGCAAACTGAGCCCCGGTGCAGCCAACCATGGTCCATAACCACGCCCGTACGCCGTCAACGAGTCCTCCCTCAACACGCAAACTACGACTCGGATTCCCAACGTATAGTTGGTCATAGCCAAACTGACGTGCGAAACGGCAGGGAAGGTAAGGCTCTATGTGGCAGCGGTCCTTCACCCGGAGAACAAGATACCCGACTCGGATGTTCACCAACCAGCGGAAACAACCGACGTCGAGAGCAGTCCGGTTAGTTCGGGGTTTCTCCATATCAGTCAACTCCTCGCCATAACGTCCCGAAAAGCGAGGGAATTCGGCAAGTTGCCAATTACAACTATTCTCCGATGATTCTTCATCATCAAGATTGATTACAATGGGTACAATGTCATTAAGTACAAAACCACCATCGTAATCAAGCCCAGTTTCGGTATCAGCTTCATCTCCGCTGTCAGTTCCTTGGGCCGGTGATTCAGTATCGGATTCAGCGCCATATAGAAGGGAATCGGTGAAATAGTTTTCCAATCCCTTAAACGGTTGCTTATCCACGACCACCGTCTTGACTTCATTATTCGAGTCTATGTACTTGAGGCATTGATGCAGAGTTGACGGAACTATAAGGTTACCGTGGATCCAAGGTCGACCCAACAGCAAATTATAGGACGTTTCTGCATCAATTACATAACAAGTAACTTCCGATTTTAAATCTCCGATCTGGCACTTGATTCGGATCTTCCCCAAGGGTCTAGACCCGCTGGTGTTGAATCCATAAATCGTAGTGCCAGTGGAGGCTAATTTGCTCGTCGGGATTCCGAGATGATGCATCAATCGGAATGGCATTATGCTAACAGCGGAACCCGGATCAACTTGGATCCGGTTGACCATGCTGGAGCCAATGTGCCCGGTAAAATATAAGGGCCGATCATGCTTTGAGTTCTTCGTCTGCATGTCTTCTTTGGTAAAATAGATGCATGGAAAATGATGCGCCGCGAGATTGCAATGCTGAGCAGATGACTCTGGTCCTTCAGGCGACGGCTTGATTTGAGTGAGAAAAGCTTCAGAATCGCTCAAAGCCTCCTGTAATGCTTTCCTTGTATCCTTGGACAGGCGCAATAGCTCGTATAGGGTTATCCTAGCCGGGATGTTGGCCAACTGCGCCATAATGTCGAAATGGGGTGAAGAGCTCACATTTCCCGGTTTGTCTCTTCCAATCGGATGATTGAATCGAGAATGCCTCGGGTTCTGGGCTTCTTGGCGTAAAGGCTCTTTTCCCTTCTCCTTCTGCTGGACTTTCTCCGTAGCTATAGGCGTTGGGGGAATTGCTGCAATTCCTAGCTCCGCCAATGTCTTGGTAGGAGGGGTTTTGGTACCTAATTGCTCGGAAGCATCTGGGTACTTGTAGTGATACTCATTCCCGCTCCGAGTGGCGAAGGTTTCCTGCTCATCTTCAGAAAGTGGGAAGGCTGGGAAAGCCGGAATTCTGTCATCGTCTCTTCCTGGAATAGCGGACACCCCATAACAAGATCTGCCTTTCCCTTTTGATTTCTTCTTGGAAGAGGTCCCAGTCCACTGTTCGTCTCCGATCAGATCTGGATGAACCCAAAGAATCTCGCCATTAGGGGCTGTGTGTGGCACGAGTCCCTTCTGGCGCTGCTTGTGAGGATCATCGTTCACCGTCTTCACTGCTGCCTTTATTACTGGCTCAAGCTGGAACTGGTTCACGGGAAAAGAGCCGAAGCTAATCGTCACTGCATTCGCCCCCAATTTCTTCTCCTTGGGCTGTTTCATGGTAATGACCCCGACATCGATGAGAGCTTGGATCTTGTCCTTAAGAGCATAGCATACTTTGGTGGGATGGTGCACCGCTCTATGAAATGCGCAGTATTTTGGATCATTGACTCTCTTGGCATCTTCC